ACTAATATGTATTAAAAATTAACGCATTGAATTAAATATTATTTTGTACTTTTATTTAATTAATTTTAGAATTAATAATTAATAATTAATTTTTTTTTTTGCATCATTTAAAAGAAACAAACATCCATAGTTAAATATGAATAGAATATTTTTGTGAGAGTTAAAGTTATATTGTTAATTAAATATATAAGTTATAAAGAACATAACATAAGAAGCTATCACTCACAGTTTTATATTCACAAGACAGTCTTAATGAAACAAAAGTTCAATACATTGCGTTACTAGTCAAGTCGATTGAAGGTATTTTGTTAAACGTCAGCTGTCAATAACATTTTGACAATGACAGCATCTTTTATGCCAATAGCACAAGCACGCGACAGTACCGTTGAATCTAGACTGAAATGAAGCTCCCACGTCTCACATTTGGCAAATACAAGGATAAAAACCAAGCAAACATAAACATCTATTCAAATGATGAAAAAGCTTTTTCCATTTCCTTACCCCTTATACTATCATAATAAGAAAAGGCTTTGACGACACGTTACATAGTTAATGCAGCTGGTATGATGTGTCTGCACGAATGGAAGTCAAAAACAATGTGTTTAATTATTTTTTTGGTTAACTTTAATGTTTTCAGTTAGAAAATACACTTCTTCCTCAAATAGGAATGTGTCGAATAATGTTAATCGTTTTAACATATGGTTCAAGCTAAAGATACTTATTACAAATTAAATTTTTCTAATTATTGATAAACATAATCTTGAATTCATAGAAACCCGAAAACCATATGTTTGCAGAAATAAGCAAGCTACTGGTCTTTAACTAGAAGTGTATAAAGAAAATTGGAACGGTCTTTTTGTAACCATACTATAAGAAAATAGCTTAACCCTTAGCTGGCTAGATTGCTTATGAGATGGCCTATTCAAAGGCTTTGAGCCAGTAGAGTAGAGGTCAATCCTTATATTTTAAGAATCGTATTGAGTACGCAGCTTTTTATATTGACAAATGGATTCGGACTCTGAAACCAGATAGGATCTTTTGTTCCTAAATGCCACCATGGGTAATAAATAGCGAAATGATAAGAAAGAAAATTAGATTCGAAGCGTAAGAAAGATTGTTTTACCATATAGCATAAATAATTTATGATTAAAAGTAGGAGTAATAATTCAATATCGTAATTTGCTGTGTTGAGCATTCTATGCATTACATTTGTATAAGTCATTACTTTCAAAAGAAATTTAGTGTGACATACAAAGATACCCACAGTTTAAATTTAATAGCAAGAAATTGGTAGCAAGTTATTATATAATGTTTAATTATTTCATTTTATACGTTCTGACGTTACATACTTTACAATTAACTTTATCACTCGCAGACGAGATGAAATAAGTGACGTGTAAAAAACCTTAGCCTGTAACCTTTTTCGAATATGCCTAAAACATAAAACTTACAAGTAGGTTAGGAATAAAAACAATCGTAACATCAACCCCCAGCATTAATTTACAAGAGTTTTCAACACCACTCGTCACTTCGAAATGCTAGATATAATGTGTATATTATAATTTATATCTTATTACTCATATCACAAAGTTCAAATTCTGTTGAATATTCACATTTCTTATTTTTTATTTGCGAGTATTGAGTGCGTCTGAGTGATGTGTACCTGCTTTCAAATGTTTTTTCAAAGCTATCTGGGTAAATATAATATTGAAACAAAAGAAAATACATATTTTTTATGATTATTATAACATGTTATTATATTGAGTACAGTTAAAATGTTTGTATAAAACGTTACAAATGGTAATTGTCAAAAGAATATTTTTCTTATTCACGCAAATTTGTGATGTTAAATATTAATTTAACGTCATCTGCAAGATTGACTTAACAAAAAACTACATAATTATAGGCAACGAATGGAATACACACATAAAAACTTTAACTGGATGCAACCTTTGTACATAATAGGCCCTTTACCTGAATTTTTATTCGAGCTGTGAGAGATACATACATAACTGTTTGTAATATTAGGTAGGAACATATATTTATATGTTATGTTAGGTACATCAGTTTATCTGATTTATTTGAAAATTTAAAGAACTCAAAGTTGATAGATTCTTTATGATTCTTTTTTAAGCAGATTAATTTTTTTATTATTTTTGTATTAATAAAGTATTTTTTTTTACATGATACAACTATTTTTGTAATAAAATAAAAGAGTAGTTTTTTTCTATAAGTGTTATTTAGTGTTTGAGATTAGTTATTTAGTCCTATTATTGGACAAAGGCAAAATGTAATCAATATAAAGAAATGTCATTTATAATAATCAATTATCATATTATATAAAAGAAATTATTTAAATAGATGTGGTTAGAATAGAAAATGAACTACTTGATCACTACTTTTCTTTAGGAGACTCATTTGATATTTAGCACTATAATAATAAAGAAAAGTTACATTTTTTACTTAAATACAAAATTATAGTAAATTATCTGTGCAATTTAAGTAACGAGACGCATTCTAGCCTCGAGAAAAAATTGCAAAAAAACGAATAAAACAACAAGCTCAGGCAGGCTTACAATTACAAGCAAAACCTGTAAATGGATCTATGTATCCCTTATTCCCATAGCTTAACGACTATTTTTCTATGAACTATTTACCAAGGACCTTGTTTCCGGTCAATTATTTACCAACTCTGTAAGAAATCTACGTAGCGATTGCTATGACATGATACGAATCTTAATAAGTAGCTCCGGGCGACGGAATACAAAATGCATTAGTCGTCTTGAACGTTGAATAATATAGAAAGAATCAAGAAACTGAATTTAAATTGAATAAAAATTTCAAATACTAGAATTCTTGAAATATAAAAAATGTGAAAAATTCATTTCTGAAGACAGAAAATAAAAAGATAATATTTCTTTAAAATATTTATGAGTTAAAAAATAATATTTATAATTTACAATACATTATAAGAAAACGAATCACTATACTAATAAAATGATTTAAATGTAACTTTCTTATTAATTATATTGTAATATAAAAACATTCTCGTTACAATATTAACATAATTTAAGTTATATTTAATATTATTCAGGAATTCCAAGCCGGGGACAGTGTTTATTTTACAGCGTACAATTAAAACCAACTTGTTTGTTCTCAACAGAGCAGATGCAATTTGCGGCTGAAATATACTGCTGAGTGTGATATGCTAACGTGACCCCGTTCCTTGAAACTTAGCACAAAGTTTACCTGAACAACTTGGATGGCCGTGGAAAGCTAAGAAAAACAAGTGAGCGACCCAGGCTTGTTACAAAGTTGGACGTGATTAGATTCTGTGTTTAAGTAACTGTTAATTTACAACAAGTAAAGGATACTTAAATCTGACTGTCCACAAAACGCATGACGTAATTAATTATTGTATAATGTGTTAATTGTGAAATATAGATTATAAGTAAAAAAGCATCGTGATATTTTTGTATAATATTCCAATAAATGAAACTTAACATGAATTTACTTTTAATCAGAAATTGAAATCGATAAATAATAACCAAAATGAATGGAATGCCGGATAGACTATTCAAAATGTGCAATGCTATAAATTGTATCGCTAATGTTCATGAATTCAAAAGCTATTTACTATTACTGAAATGTTAATGATATCAATTGTGATAAATATATTTTTTATTATTTTTGATTTTGTATAACGATCATTTAAATAATACAATTTCTCTTTTCTCAACAATTGTACAATTAAATATCAGCTTGGATGTACATTCCTCATAAAAGCTATATAAAATATAACATCAATTCAAATGTCTCGAAGCAATTTTTCTCTTTATATTAAATTTCAGTAGTATGAAGCGTCGTATTTAAATTAATATGCTCCGTCTAACTCAAAGCTGTGAGAATTCTTATAACACTTTATGTGGATTGTTGGACTGTTGCGACATTTTGTACATTGTAAAGACTTTGTCTGCAAAACATAAAACATAGTCAAAGCCTAACAAGGAAAATAGGCTTTGAAATAATGGAACTATTTTCGTTAAACCAATGATTGATAGTGTCGTTATTTATCAAGTTTATTATACAAGAAATAGTTTCGGAATGTTATGTCATCAACTTGTTCAACAAATTGTTTTCGGAATCTCCGGGGAATGCGTGTTTGGGACTAGCTGTTGTCATAAATATCGAATCGTTAACTTTTCATATAAATTGCCTCATTCTTGTATTTTCTTGATGGAGAGCGAACATTACAATACTTTTATCTTGTTAATAAATGTGAAAATAATGACGAAAACATTTAATCACTATATTATTGTTAATAATATTAATTTTATAAAGATTTTATTACAATATTATTTATAGGTGTGGTCTAACTTTGCCATTGTTTGATAATAAGGATAAAATAAATTAGAAATTCTATTCCCAAGTGTCTAGTTATCACGTAATTATATAAAGTAGTTGACGGATATATATACTTTCTTGGCCCAAATCGGTCTTAATAGAAAAGTTTACAAACTCGTAATGGATATCTAATAGATAAATAACCGGTGCCGTTGCGACAAAGCTTTTTGACAGTTTTACAATCAGAAGATGTTTACGGTCGATAAATTGCCCGTCAATATTAATTAAGATTTATAACACATACATAATTTATATTTAAGATTTTTCTCTTATTTTCTTATACGTATGTAGTGATGTTGAGGATTTGTTTTACTTACATTTTGTTAACTTTAATCTAACTCAATACCTTTACTGCAATCACGTTGAGGTTAGATTGGATGTGCATGTTGCAATACTATTAACAGTTTTCCCATGTAGTGGTGAAGCAATATAGTGACTTCGACATGAAAGCGCTATCCACCAATCTCAATGTGCGATTGTCATTAAAGGTATTGAACAACGTTGATTTAATTGAATTAGCTTAATTTCCTAAACGGTCTAAATGTAATATATTCTTAAGTAGGTATTTATTTAAAATCTACTTACATGAAATGCACCTGTGATAAGGGGTCCCGCCTGTCCGACGTATAAAGTAGAGGCCGAGTCGAATACAAGCTCCAAAGGGTTTCTTTTTACTACTAAAGTATCAAACTCGTGACAGTTCAAAAACAAAGTAACATTATCAGAGGTTACTTTGAGGGCAAACCGACTCCATTTTTTGGCGAATGATGGCACAACAAACGATGCTATAGTCTGACTTAATGCATATATATTTGGATCTGTATAGAGAAGTGAAATGTTTGTCAAACCAGGCCCAGAAGGTATTAATTGAACACCCAATTGGACGACAGTCTCCAAAGGGTTAACAACAGAGAAAAGGAATCCGCCGTCTTTGTTAGCCGGCCGTACGGTAGCGGTTATTGAAAATTCCGAATATAGTTTCTCTGGCATGAAGAGCCTATATGGCGATTTAATATCGGAGCCAGGTTTAAGGCCGTATGCGGGAAAGCCGTCGAGACCTTCATCGAAATACTGGGTTTTTGGGTTACTGAATGGAACCCCGATCGCGTGTAGCAAGTCGTATTCCGGGATTTCTGGAAAGCAATAAACATATCTTTATTTTATAGCCACTTTACTGCGCTTCTTTTGGTTTAGTTCCCTGTATTTGTGTGTTAATTTCTTTAACTAGCAGAAGAAATTTATTGTTCAACTACGCTCCGCTAGTTTGTTTTCTAGTTGTTTATTTTGTATAAGATTTACTGCTTTTTATTTCTAAAGGCAAATTAAAATAATTGGTACAAAGTGTTCACTGTTGGTTTAATTAGATCTTAAATTAGATGGAAAATATTTTACACTGAGTCTTTTTTCTTTTGAGAGAAGACTTTATGTATAAACGATAAAGGAAATTATTTTTAATTATGATAAAAAAGTGGCTTGGTAAAATAAAGTAAATTAACGTAAAGTAAAGCAGTCAACAAATAGAATAGAATTAAAGTAATATTTATGTTCATAGTGATATTAGCTGTAAGAGTAAAAATTAGTTCATAGTTTAGTCATTACCGTTACTAACTCATATGGTCCAGTGTACACTGTCCAATCAAAAAATTCATGAGTTCGTGGTACACTACAATACAGCGTCGAAATATAAAATATTTGACGGTATATGAATAAGTTTCGCTTCAATTCATATAAATTTTTAGTCATATAAGAACTATTTTCGTAACTTTAGTTTAGAACGGTTAAAAAAGTCTTATACATATATTCAATATCTCATAGGCTTTCTTTTCAATATTTCTAAATAAATTATGTTTTTTTTTTGTAGTACCGTCAATATACACCATGATTTAATTATAAAATAGGTAGCCTTGATCTTCTTTAAGAATTAAATTATATTTAACTTAAAAAGATTTTCGTTCTTATATTACTTTACAGTGTCATTTTTATATTTAAGCAAGTAAACAAATGTATTTCCTGTTTTACACAGATTTTTAAAGTTAATCATCATTAACAAATAGTACAAAGGTTTTTCGCTGTGAAAGCTTATTGCTTCTTAGCACGATTTAAAATATAACATGCTGTATGTCGTCAATTTTGTTTAACCACCCGTGGTTTTGTTTACATTTGAAATTATGTAGTCGTTATTTTTACTTTAAATATTTTAACGTTGTATTTATCAAGAACCCAAATATCGTCTAAACAGATATCTTTGTATGGACTTGATTATAAAAACTTAATAATTTCTTATAGTTCTGCTCATCTTGATACATTTGTTATGTAATTTTTGTGTTACTATTTATTGTTCCAAATTGTTGAAATACTTTCTAATGTGATTTTGTATTTATATTTTTTTATTTTTATATTTCTAACTATATTATGTAACTGGTTTAATTTTTAAATATTTAGTTCCTCGAGCAAAACGACAAGTTACAAATTAATGTATATGTGTTTCAACTATAACAATTAATTCTAGAGCTAATTCGAAACGAAGCAATTGTTTTCGAAAAAAAAAGGTTGCTTTGAATGATTTACATTACAATAATTTAAATCAACTTTAAATAAAAAATTCTACTTTTGAAATTACATATATGAATAAGTTCCTAAGATGATAGTCTATGATCGTGTTGAATTTCAGTCTTAACAAGAAAACAGATAATTACACAATTATTAAAAAAAAAAATACTTACCGTTAGGGTATTTGGATCCAAAAATGCCGTCGTTGGCTTCACATATTGTTGAATATAAAACAATTGAGAGCCAAATGTACCTGCGACAAAAAATAGAATTAGATGCAAAATATCTTACATTTAAAAAAAAATTACTCGTGACTCAAAGTATAACGTATATACATGTACATATATCAGTGGCGTGCACAGAGATTTGGGATAGAGTAAGCAGAATAGGTTAAAAAAAATACCAATTTTCATAATTTCCTTTCTAAAATGTTGATAATAATGAGATCTGTCGCAAGTATTCATTTAAATGAAACTAATATTTTCGAATCACGAAAGTACCTTAAAACGATTACGATCTGTTCATCACAGCTTTATAGGTTATTTCAATAGGAATATCCATTATCCAGTGGCGATTCAAACATTCTTCTTATTAACATTTGAAAACAAGCAAACAAAATAACTTATTTGTGTGTACACAACCTGCTAACTAATTAAAACTATCATAATACTTTTTATTAAAACGAATAACATTACCTTTCTTTTAGTTCAATCTCAACTGGTCACACACCTTGACTTTAGGTACACTTAATTTAAATTTATTATCAAACGACAATATTGAACATCTACTCGTATTTCATTAAGGTAAACAAACATCACAAGCACAAAGCTCACAGCTATATATTCCATAATTCGTTATTAAATTAATCCACTGTTTACTGATTAAAACTTATTCACTTGCGCTTAAAAAGACAAATGACGATATTCAATAACAATAAAATGGCGGAAAAAATATACGTGAACAGTTTACCGACCAATCAGAGAGCCCCGTTTCGTTGGTCAATTAACGGACTTTCTACTACATTTTAAACAATACAAAATAATAATCGAAGGCCATATTATAAAAAAAATTAATAATAATAATACTAATCAGTGCTTCTCGAACGCTGCATGTGTTAGTTTTACACACACATATACGAATATTTCCTGCATACATACACGAGATTTGTAGATCGTCCTTGAGAATTTTTGTTTTTAAAATTTAAGCAGAGTGGTTGTGCTAGTGTTGCAGAACCATCGATATTTTGTCTATCGATAGTTAACCTCGACAACTATTCAGAATATTGATAGCGCTATCGATAGCATCGTCACATCTTAATACTATCGATAATATCGATGGCACATCTTATACAATACTATCAATACCATCGATAGTTACACCTTCAATACTATCGACAGTATCGTAAAATTTGCTATTTTAACCCAAAAACTATCGATACTACTTTCTGAACTATCGATTGTCAGGAATTATGAAATAAAAGTAATAGAGAGTGTACTTGTATTTAAAAGTAGTTATTAAATATTCCAAGTACTACCCTTATGATTCCAATCAAATTAGTAAATGTCTAACCAATTCATGAGAAATTAAAAAAATCTACTGACACCCGTCGGGGTTTGAACCCCTGATCTAAGCGATCAGAGCCCATACCCTAGGCTAACCATCTGAGCTCTAATGTGCCCCGCGGGAGTCAGTCTGTTTAAAAAAAAAGTTTACATTTAACCTTCAATGTACGAAAATATGGTTTCGACATATCGATAGTATTGAAGGTATATCCATCGATGGTTTCGATAGTATTAACTCTTTCAATAATATTGTTTAAGAAGTGTCATCGATACTATCGATAGTATTAACATGTGACGATACTATCGATAGCTGATAGTTGTGTCTATCGATAGTGGACTATCGATAGACAACACTAGGTTGTGCATACCGCCGCTCTGGCTGCATAGCGGCGCTAGCAGTTTGCAGCGGCCAATCGAAAATGTTTCGTATTTACATTGATAGATAGCACTTGTTAGCAAATCTTGAACCAAATGCAATATTAAATGACTTTAAACATTTGTTTTTCGTAATGAATGGTTAAAAGTATGTAAGTAAGAATTAAACAATATCGTTTTAGTTGTTATATGCGTAGGGTATGAAGTGCTTATTTGCATCTATGGTGTGAGATCTATATGTGTATTCGAACTAGCTGAAAAAGACAACATGTAACATAATTAACGCACACCCTGAAAGTAGTTATATTAGTTCAGAATCGGTATCTGGATCGATTTTTATAGTTTTTTATGTAGGTCATTTTTTTTTCTCAAATTTAGATAGAACTAAGTAAATTACAATCATCCTAAACACAGTTATCTAAACACTTCATTGAAACGATCCCCCGACTTAAACGAAAATGGATCTACGATCCATTTTCGTTTAAGTCGGGGTATTAAGATTTTTAAAATGAAATATTAAATTAGTAATCATCAATCAATTAAAGAAAACTGATACTTGTTTCAAGGCTAAAATAGTATTTTACAAATACCTAAAAACGCAACACCAACAGCGACAGCCGGCATACATCACATACCTACGCACGTGTCCATTGACCTCCTAGATCAGCTGATTTGACGCCACTCGGCTTTTTTTTGTGGGGGCGAATTAAATTGCTAGTTTATAACACAGAGATAACAAGTGTTGAGGAACTAAAAAATAAGATAATTACCGCCTTTGTAAAAGTGAAAAGTGACACTGCAGTATTATCTAAAATAAAACCACAATTGCGAAAACGGTCATTAAAGTGCATTGAACAAGGTGGACATTTTGAAAATGTTTTAAAACGACAACGCCGTGCGAGTGCAAATTAAACTGTAAGTTTATTTATGATCTTTAAATTATTGTTAATATTTTGATTCACACTATTTAAACACGCCGACTTTGTCGTAGGTATTGTGGTGTCTAATGAAATCACGCGTTATCTGTTTAATAATTCTTATTTAGAAATTTAATTTTACAAATCAGTAATTATAAAATATTGGCTTCACATTAAAAAAAAATTCAATGTCGACAGTCTAAAGCCTGAAAAGTGTGATGGAAAGAAGAATCATAAATAATAATGTAGTTATTTCGTGTACTTATTATTACCTACTACTTACGAGTATTATTGTCGGACGGCACTCGGAGAGAGGGGCGCGGGCGCGGCGAGTACATTGTGTCTGCCTGTGTGTGCGTGTGCAGCGAAGTGTTGGTGAATAGCTGACCATATTATTGTCACGAAATTGAGATAACTAATTTCACAAATAAACAATGCTAACGCACAATATATAAGTAATATTTGGTGTATGCATGGCGTTTATATTATTATATTCTAATTGAGGTGTTTGAGGGTGTGCGTTAATTATGTTACATGTTGTATATTACATGTTGTATATATAAATTTTCTCGTGTTAAATTCATGTTGACGTGACACAGACAATTTTCAATTTGCCGCCAAATTGTAAAACAAATGACAAATATATGAAATATATACTCAGTAATAACTAATATTGGCAAAGAGTTCTATTTTCAAATTTTAGAATTATTTTTTTATTATATTGTTTATAAGTGGCCAGTTCTAAGAACTTTCAGTTTGACCCTCGTACATATATAAAGTGATCTGTCAATTATTTTCAATAATTAAAGTCGTATTTATGATTGAACGAAATAAAATAAAGAGGCTCCTTGACAGGAACAATAAAAAAACTTCTGCTCCGTCCAATCGAGGATCTCCAATCAGATCTGTTTGTTCCACTAAAAGAAGTGAATCTGCAATTCAGATGATATTCAGGATGAAGCGAATCTTAATTGACATGTATCTGTTATTGATGAAATTGCTTTTTGACTACCAAATATTGGGTATTGATCTCATTGTTGTATTCTTAAGTGTTTCATTATGCTGGCAAAAGTTATTCCTAAAAGTCTTATATTATATTATGGATTGTCCACTAGTAAGAAAGAAATATTTTTTTAATTTAATTAAAATGACATGATAAAATAACAGTAAAACTGTTTATATCATATCATGATGTAATTGTTAAACAAAGTGCCAAATATGTTTATTTTATAACGCCTCTCCGCTTTCTCCATTGTAATTCAAATAATGATTAATAGCACCTGACAAAAGGGATTTAATACGTGCTCTTTTTACAAGAGCATATTAAAAACCATTAAATATACGCGATTTTTTGATATTAAGTTGTAATTTATGCTCGTTGTAATATATTTTGAATATAGCAAAATGTGGAGTATTAAAAATAATTTTATAACTATGTTATTTTAATTATTAGGTAGGTATATATCATGTCGTAATATAGTAGATTGTTGGCTAAATAACTAGTTGAATCGATTTACAAGTAGAGGAAATTTAATACTACTTTCCCATTTTACGACTGGTACACATTAAAATAAAATAGGTCTAGTGTAATTCAGATCAATGGATTTTATCTAGTAATCAAGATTATGTACTAAAAGAGTACTCGTACTAATAATGAAAATACAAAGGTAACAAACAGAAAATAAAGATGAAGTTGATTTAATTATTTTTCGATTCAAACAATACAACGGTATAATTGATGAAACCGTAATTAAACGGAACATCCGTCTAGTGCCAGTGAGAATTAATTGTACAGAACAAAAGTCATAAGTACCGATCCATCAGGGCGAATGTTGAAGGAGGTTTGACAGCGGGTCTATTTCAACTTGAATGTGGGTAACACATACCCAGACATACCATTAACGTAATAAGGACATCAATCATTACTACATTGTACACAAATTGAAACTTATTTGATATACACGAATTGAAACTGTACACAAATTGAATCTTATTTGATATAATTTTTAATATATATGTACAATGTTTTTTTGTATTATCAGTTCTCATAAGAAGCAATTTGTATTCAGTACCTATCTTTTACTTAAAATATTAAGTTATATCAAATTAATATTCAATATTCTTTAATCTTTATTTGTCGACGTAATTAAATTTGTGATGGGATCAAATAAGGTCGAGATTCATAAAACTGCTTGGAATTTTATTAAGTCGATTCATGTATACATTAGAATTATCTATAGTGGAATTCAGATGTTCAAAAATAAATATTTTTACTTATTAATATATGGGTATAACTGAATGAATTTAAGTGAGATATATTTTTTTTGTTACGAAACAAACTACGCAATTACTTTTGAATAGATTTTCCATATAAAATGAATATTAGAAAATCATTATTGAAATAAGCAAGCATTTGAAAATAAACTGACTTCTGCAGACATTCTTATTTAAAAGTCGTTAACCTTTCAGTGACTCAACCATTAGTTGGTTGAAGATCACAGACAATAAACTTGTATCAATTACACAGATTAAAGATGATGCTAATTAATTTATTGGCCTACTGGTTATTGCTCCCTACATTAGTATATCACATTAGATCATCTTGCGTTTCTTTACTACTGAATGTACTGTTCTAGAAAATTTTTCCTACAATATGTCATGATCTGTGTTAGTTACACAACTTAAAGACGTAAATAATATTATATATTATATAAGCGTTATTAATTATGTATTATGTTTTAAGGAATCATGACTTAATAGAAGTGAGAGCCTCATTTTTCAACGCCTTTGTATTAAATTATGGTAATAAGTTTTGTGACCCTAATTCACTTGACATTGTAATGCCTTTAATATGTCAGATTCTTTACAAATTTATATTTTCAATATTAAATATTTTTAGTATTAGTTGTATTAAAATCATAAGTCTATAACTATACATAGTAATGCATACTTATATAGTGATCTAGCACCAAATATCAGTTAAAAATATGCACAAAACAATAGGTTTAAACATGTAAAACCGAAGACGAAAATTCTCATTTCCTAATTAAATACATCAAGTAGCTCTCATTAAAACTTTAATTTTTTATTATCGTATTGGTTTGCGAATATGAGACTGAATGACAATGTAGCAATTGATTTTTTTTCAAGCACAGTGTCAGGGATGCAATCTTGTATCGGATGACTGACTTTAGGATGGGCTTTATAATTTAAGCTATTTTCATGCAAATTGAGCGAAACAGCGGAACGTCGGGTCATTGTCATTATCCGATGTATCCTGATCGAAATATTTAATGACTTTAACGTATTTTTGTGTCATTATAAAATTACGTACAAAAGATTTAATCTTTTAATCTCTACAAGAGGATGTTTAACGCTTTATCCAATGATTTATATACACAATATATTAAATTAATAGTTCGAGTTATTTAAAAACATTCTCGTGGATAAATAGGACAATAATATTAAAACATAATGTCAAACAATATAGATATATAAGAACTTGCAAAATGTTTGGCAAAAATAGTATCTACATGTTATTTAAAAGAAATTCTTACTATTTATATAGTCCGATAAAGTTATATTTATACGTATTCTAACAATCAATACCATTTCCGTGTATTTCATTGAGTTCCCATCTTTATGAATGCCGACGGACTATTGTCATATATATTACCTTGTTTTAATGTCATATCTGTGGCTGAATCTTTTACAAAACAATGTTCCAAGTGTACGGAATACTAATTGAGTTTTAACCTCTTACGTACTGGCTGTTATTAATGATACTTCGAACTAAGTTTTTGTGAT